ATTAGTTCATCTTAAACCATTGTGGCTTTATAAATTCTTTGTAATGGTTACAATGATTAGAAAAATAAGTTTGTCAGATAGTCATTTAAGGAATCGAATGATACAAAACAATTAATTCTAATGTTGGATATTATAGCGTAGTTATTGCGCTATTTTTCTCCTTTTACTCTTTGGGAATTGCAGGGAGGAGATCGGAAAAGCAAAAATATAAAAAAGAACATCTTAACACAATATGAATATCGATATGTGTAATGCGCCATAATACCCCAACGAATAAGTTTCAAATATCAAGTTTTTTTTAAAAAAAATATGAAAATTTTCATTATTAGATAGCAAATCAAATTTTATTTTATTTGATAAATTTTGCGAATAAATATGCATTTTTGAAAATTTTACCATACCATCCGAAATAAAACATCATTTTTTGCGTGTAATGCAGGCCAAAATTGACATAGTGCGGGCTAGGAGTAATTATTTTCGGAGATACTTAATTTAGGAACGGTACGGTATTACATATCACTTCTTTCCAGATATACTCTCATATGCATTCGTTCTGGTATAGACAATTAAGGCATGTAATTCTTATCGTTATTCTTTTTTCGTAACTAGATAATACTGTTGTGCAAATCATCATGCGCATGGGAATATTTCGGAATATTCCGGAATTTGCTTGAAATTTTGGCTAGCATTATAGCACTAAAAATCATGCGCATGATTGTATAAAATTGTGCGCACAACACCAGTTTATACATAATTACATATCGGCCAATTTGAGGAATTTACTAATAATAGTTTGTTTTTGATGATTTTACTATCAAGATGATCATCTCGGTGTGACGATTCTAACGAGTCTTAAATGATCAAATCTAACCACTAGATCTTGAGATAGCTAAAATTTTCTGTTAATTTTTAAATGATTTTACGGTACCACTAAAATGTTCGTCTCGATGAGGCGATTCTAAAGAGTTCAAAATCAGCAAAATCCAATTATAGAATCACAGATCGTAAATGATCAATGTTTATTTCGAGGTTGTGGTGAGGTTGGATTTTAATATAAAGTCCATTTTAACATTTTTGGCCTAGATAGAATAGTTTCACCAATACGAACATTCAAGTAGTAAAATCATCCCTAACGGTTCGGTGGATTAAAAGCTATTCAATATAAATTTATTTTTATATTGACTCTAAAAATTACTAATAAAATAACAGAAATTTTGACTACCTCGGAATCTAGTGGCTCATTTACTGAGACGATCATTTTGGGTGTAAAATTGTCAAAAACAGATTAGTATGGCAAAAAGTAATTAGCTAATTCCTCAAATTAACCGATATGAATACTATAATGATTTTTTTAAAAATTTTATGTTATATTAGTATTTCCTGCTAATGAATTTCTAAATCCGAAATATTTCGCCGATAAGAATAATTTCGCTGGGGCAAAATATTTCCGCTCAATCTGCACCTTTTTTGAAGCCTCATCAATGTAAAATATTTCGCCTAAGAATTTCGGATTTGCCTAAAGAATATTCTATATTCTATAAAGCCGCATTATTGTAATGCCAAGTAATAATATTTAAAATTAGTATAAAGTGATCAGAACATGATAATCAATTGACATACGTAGACTTCCCTTTCCTAATACATGCAAACAAAATGTTAAAAAAATGGAAATAAATAAAAATAAAATGAATATTATAATGAAACACTAGAATCTTGTGAAACGTAAATATTCATTAACTGTTAAGGAATTTTAAATATAGAATGACTTGAATTAGTTCCTTTTAAGTTTTATATTCGGCAAGATATCGGAGTTATTAGTGACAACACGGAGTTTTTTTGCAAGAACTACAAATATAAGTATAGCACTTTTTATAAATTAAATGCAGCTAGGTTACGAAATTTAAGGTCTTTAATATGTCTAAGCGATTATCTTACCTATTTATTTATCTTTACATTTATTGTCACGCTTTATGTGTATATTCTCAAAACTACACTACATTATCGCAATGCCCGGGATCAGTGACATATCCTATGACATTCACAAGTTTATTAGTCACAAATCCAATCGTTGTTAATCAGAATGGAAGCTTTTCTTTTGTGGTTATTGGTATCGGAGAAACAACAGTACCAATAGTTCAGGGTGCAGTACTCCATTATTATCCTCTTATTGATGGTATACTGCCACTTACGGGTTATCGTGATAAAGTAGACTTTTGCCAAATGTTAAATAACTCCAATGGTCCATGCCCTATTAGCGGAAGTTTTAATGTTAACGCTACAATTACTCATCCTCCTAATTCCACATATTTACCTGGTATTTATAGCTTTTTAAATGGCGCTATTATCAGAGCAGAAGGTAAAGTACATTTTCTAAATTGATGTATAGGTAAATGATAATTAATTAAAAAATAATCAACTATTTTTCAGTGAATAATCCTGATAACACGAATTTGACATGCGTGCAAGGACAAATAAATATTATTAGTTCATAATTCATAGTATTAATCATAACTTTATCAATTTTTTTGTAATGTAATGATAGTCAGAAAAATATATTATTCATATTCAATCTTTAAAATATAATATAACACATATATTTTAGTTATAATATTGATTTTTCAACTTATTTTTATTTTTTTATTTTATTATATATATATTTTGCAAACTTTATAAAATAAAATCATACCATTTAAGAAATATATGAAGTATTAATAGGTATCGAGATGAACAGTCGTTAAGACCGTTAAGTTATGATAGAAGTGATGGACATATTACATAATCTAATTTGGAGTTCGTCCATTTTAACGTTTTGATTGACCATACCCAAAAGCATTATCTAAATTGAAAGTTAGAAATCAATTACTACTTAATTAAATTCTATTGATTTTAATTTAGTTAGGAATCTTTTTCGAAATTTTAAAAAACTCAACATCTAAATAGAATCTGTCAAATTTTTTAAATTTGAGCGAAGGTTTCTCGATAACAATTTGTTCAATTTGATAAATATATTTTATTTGAATTCTATAATTCAAATAAAGCAAATAAATAAATAAAATAAATTATAAACAAATAAATAAATAAATAAATAAAATCTTATTAAGTTTAGATTAGCATATATTGAGATGTCTTAGCTCAATATTTAAAAAAATCATTGAACATTAAAAACAATCTTTATATAAGGTATATAAGCACTTACACTCAAACGCTAATACACTAAACATTAAAACATAGAATGAAATTTATTATCGCATTTGAAATATTTCCTTTTCATGGAAATCATTTACAGTTAAACTATTAAAATAATAGATCACCAAAACACTAACTCACTAAAAGCACCAAATCACAAAACATATCAGCTTGTTTATATGCGTTGACAATAGTCACCTAGGGTTATTATCATAACCAGATTTGTGGCTTATATGAAAAATAATAGATACGCATATGAATGTTTGCGATCGATAGAGATTATAGATATGCATGTTGGTGCATGCGATCGAGATTATAAAGATACATGTTGGAGTAAGTAATAACATCAGTGTTTTCTTACTTCGATTGTCTTATCACTCGATGCTCGATAAAATCTGGCTCCGTATTAGACCTGCCCCTTGCCTCCTATTCATTGCACCTAGCACCCTGCAGTGGTGCTTTGTTACGTGAGCATATATCCACGTGAAAAGAATTGTTGCTGAGCACAGCATTAAATAGCGGAAGAGAAAATTATGAAATAGATCACTACTCCCATCATGTATCTTCATAATGTATAATAAAGAAAGTGTTTAAATTGAAATCCGAGCGTGGATAATAATATGATCTACACTATCAAAACAATCGAATGTGCGCAATATTTTTAAAGTAATAAAATTATGTTAGGGTTAGGATTATGAATGAATGTGTGCTTAAAGCATGGCAAAATTTTACAGGAATTACTTTATGTTAGTGCGCAGAAAATGGGTTTATAGACAAAATTTCGAGTTATCGGCGTTTTTCAAAAAACGTATGACCCCATAAGTGTCAATTATAAGAAATTTGATTTTTTATAAGTGATAAATTCGATTGAGTATGATATTTTATTTCTATTTAACAGGCACCATAAAAGGTGATAATTTACTAATAATATATAGCTATAACTAATAAAAATGTTAACCTTAACTCTATGTGATATGCTAGGTAAAAGGCCTGTTGGCGAATTCCACATGTACAAAATAACAAGATGTTGTGAACAAACAATAACGATATATATATAATATAATCTTGAGGATCTAAAATAAAGTGAATATTATTCCTATGAACGTAGTATGAAGAAACAATTTAAAATTTAGCGTAAAATGTAAATATATAAAATAAGATAATATTATAATATCTATTTTCAAATAATAATAAAATATTGATCTATGAAATAAATTGAAAAATTCAGTGCATTAAATTTTAAACATGAGAAACACAGCAATTTCAGGTTTATCATTTGGCTTTAAAATTAGGATATGTTTAAAGTATTTGATGGTTTCACTAATCTAACCTAATCATTTTATCTTCGCCATCATTTACTGATTGCTATCGTTATTTTCAGTCTCATTAATTTCTTCATCATCGATAGCGTTATTCCTTACCTCATTGATATTAATATTTTCTATTTCAGTATTAATATCATCATTTTCTACCGTATGCTCAACTTCATTATTAACCATATTATTGCTATCAGCATTATTTTCTGTATTATCGATATGAATTTCGATCGCATTATTATAAACTTTGTTAATCACTGGTACATTATCATCATCATCATCTGCATTTTTCTTATCATTTTCATTATTGGATATATTATTACTATCATCTGCATTATCAGCATTATTTTCTGCGTTATTGATAGGAATCGCTACCGCATTATTATTAACATTATTCACATTATTCTTATAATGCTGATAGCACCGATAAATACATCCAAGTATTTTAGAAGTTGTGAAAGTTATAAAAGTCAACCAATTTACTATAAGAGTAATCAAGGGAACGATTTTATGTATTATTTGGTTATTAAAGTAAAGCATCTTATGTAAAAGTAACGATATGTTAATGAATAAATTAAATTACAAAACCGCAGTATAAATGTTAA